ACAGACAGACAGACAGACCACCCGATAGCCTATATATATATATATGTATATATTATATATACTATATATATATATATTATTATATGTCGTACCTAGTAGCCAGAACTCACTTCTCAGCCTACTATGCAAGGCCCGATTTGCCTAATAAGCCAAGTTTTCCTGAATTAATATGTTTTAATCTAATTTTTTTTCTTATGAAATGATAAAGCTACCCATTTCATTATGTATGAGGTCAATTTTTATTTATTTGAGTTAAAATTAACGTAGATATATGACCGAACCTAACCAACCCTACCTAACCTAACCTAACCTATCTTTATAGGTTAGGTTAGGTTAGGTAGCCGAAAATGTTAGGTTAGGTTAGGTTAGGTAGGTTAGGTAGTCGAAAAAGCATTACTTCATGAAAACTTGGCTTATTAGGCAATCGGGCCTTGCATAGTAGGCTGAGAAGTGCGTTCTGGCTACTAGGTACGATATATATATATATATATATATATATATATATATATAATATTATATATATATAATATATATATATATATATAAAACTGGTACTTTCATGCCTTTGAGAGTCAATGACTTCTTGTCTCATATCAGTCTTGAATGTTAGCAGAAATGTAGTCTTAACATAGATAAGGGATACCTAGGTCTAGTATGTTCTGCTCTGGTACCACACTGGGCCATTGTTTCGTCCAGCAATGGTACCACGCAGGTCATATGTCACTAAACCTGTCCAACCCTGGTACCATTAGCCATTGTTTGGTCCAGCAGTGACTCCATGCAGGCCCGTGTCACTGATCCTTCCTACCACTCCTGGTCGACTCGCTCTTCAAGACTGGTCCCACTTCCTCGACCCCCTTAGGTCAAGGAAAAAAGCAAATCATGTAAAAATTCAGCCCTAAATGCCAGCACACTGGACTAGACCTGTCTGTCTGTGTGTCTGTGTGTCTGGGCTCCGCTAGCCCTCCTCGCCTGCAAGCAGATTACAGTAATTATCCGACAATTTTTCACTTATTGCATTTTCCAGTTAGCATCTGTGCATACATGGTACGCTTTGATTCACTTTGAGAAGTCTCTCTGTTCCTTCGTTCTGTCTTTATTGTTCCAATTGTCCTTCTTTATTAGTGTGTTTGTTTTCGTTTTTATTTATACATTTTCTCCCCTCTTTCTCGTACTCGATTTTACTTGTGTTATGGATTTATTGTTTTATGATTAGTTTGTTAAAGAATTGTATTGCAGACTTATTTACTGAACAATGTGACTTTGAGAAAATCTTTGGAGTTGGAAGATGGGATCGAACCATCGTCTTGGTCACCTCAAAACGCACGTCGTGCACATGGACCTCGGATACGAAAAAAAAACTCTTCGCATAGATAAATGACGTTATTGTGATTTCAATGTGTAATATTTTTTTCGTAAACAAGCAATTGTCTCATAGTGTGACAAGGCTTCCCTTGTGTCCCGGGGGAACTTGCATGCTTACAAGTAATCATGCTTTTGCAAGATTTTCCTTTTTTGCAAACATTGACATATGTGGACAGTATTGCAACGAAAATGTATGGTACCACATATATGTTCTCATACCTTTTGAGCGCTGAGCAATGGGGGCTTCTTATATTGCTTCGTAAGAGTAATCAAAGGTGAGATATTTGTCAGTGAAGATTGCCTGTAACTTGTTCTGTCTCTGCCAGCTTGGAATGGAGTCAGATTGTAGTTTGGGCATCACAGGTCAATGGTGTGTTAAGTCTGGCTCCATGAATCAGATGGATAACCGAGGCCTGAGGGAAATGGAGGAGTGTCTGGCCCAGCATTTCAAAGAAGCCAGGAAAGGGCCTGTGTACGTTTGTGCCATATCTCTGCCTACCAACAAGCTGCTGTTTCTAAATATTATTTTGGAAATGCGCAGTGATCGGTCATATTTCGAGGCCAGAACAGCAAACATAGGTCACAGCTCCAGACCAGAGCTGCATGCATGGGCCACAGTTCCATGCCAAAGCAGCACTTCATCTGGCGTATATCTCAAACAACATTCGTGTATCTCGCTGGAAACAAAAGAGTCGTGTAGACTTATTTCCAAGGAAGAAAAGTGATTGACGTACGTTTGTGTCCTTAAAAGTATCGTGCTTTGATAAATGCCATATGTTCAATAAACGTCAGCAAAGTACTTTAAACTTTTCAATGCCTCCCACTGTGATCCTTTCCCCACGGGGTCAGGATCGTAGCTATAACCACTGTGATATATTTAGTGGCAGCTGTGGTACACAATGCTATATTGACTATCCCAAAGCTTCCCGTGGGTAGTCAGTTGTTGCATCATGCAAGCTATATTGCGAAACACCTAAAGGTGTTTATAGCTTCCTCTTCACACACGAAGAGGAAGCTATATTATTTTCTTTACGTACTTGAGATAAAGCTTATTCACCTGCAGACGATGAGTCACAATAACGTGGCTGATGATTATTCATCTTCTCAAAGCTTATTCAGTTGACTTTTTCCTTCCTCTTGTTTCACTTCTATAGCCCAGAAAGTAGTCATAGGCAGTAATATACTTCAGAAAATATTTTTATAACTTGTTTAAAAATAGAAATAGTAAAAACAATACCTCTTTGTATTGTCTTAAGAAAGTGTACAATAAAGCATTAAAGCTACATATTGTCTCTAACATCAAAATAAAGGAATGTATTGTTTCAAGAAATTTATGACGAAGCTGCTTATTTTCTCAAGAAGCTTTTAATGAAGGCAGACACAGTCTTATGAAAAAGTTTCACGTATAATCTTTTATTTCGTTAACCATAAGCATAATGTTTCCTCTGGATACCTTCAAAGGCTCACTGTCACGAATAGTCACCATCATTCATCTGCTCACCATTATTCACGTGGTCATCATTTAGGAAGTCACCATCATTTACGAGGTCACCGTCATTCACGTAAGATACCATGATTCACGTAGTCACCATGATTCACGAGGTCACCATTCTCGTGCTCACCATTGTTCACGTGGCCACCAGCAAGGGTGTTCAACACTACAGGTAACCACTGCCATATATAACATTACTCACCATTTACTTGCTCATTTAAACTATTTAAAAGGGGGGGGTTCGCATATATAATTAAATAATTAAATAATTTCCCTTTCAGTGTTGTTCTCTCCTCATTTATCATTTCCGTTCTCTCTCTCTCTCTCTGTCTCTCTCTCTCTCTCTCTCTCTCTCTCTCTCTCTCTCTCTCTCTCTCTCTCTCTCTCTCTCTCTCTCTCTCTCTCTCTCTCTCTCTCTCTCTCTCTCTCTCTCTCTCTCTCTCTAGCTGTTTGTTTCCTCATGTTCACTTGAACATTTATTCGGCCATACTACATAACGGTTACTATGTATATGAACGTTTTAATGTTCATTTGTTCATACACCATTAAAACAGTATATCATCATACACACAATAGGGGTATAAACACTTAGTGGGGCACTGCATTTCTTGGTATATATACACCAAGGGTATATTTTAAATCTAAGACTATATCTAGGGTATACTTGTTGGATGGGTAATACGTTCTTGTAGAAACTTTATTAACCCTCTTTAAACTTTATTGAGTTTGATAGCCCAGTTTAAAACATTAATAAATGTTTAAACATAAACATTAATAAACGTTTAAAATAAAACATAAAGTTTAAACATTAAACTTTATTGAGTTTGGTAGCCCTTAATCCCTTACTTCAGAACCAGACATTCATGAGCTTGGGTGATAGGTACTTAAGAAATGTATAGTGACTGTATTGATCAAATATATAGTGACTATAGTGACCTTCCTGTGCCATGAGAGACAGAGACGAAGCCTGGGTGGTGGAGAGTCCCCTGGTGGTGGCTACATGTCTTCCTCTTACCAAAGGTTAAGGGTCAATACTGTCATTACTCACGTCTACATGGTCACAACAGGCTCCAAGGTTCTCTGGGTATTAAGCTGCTTGCTTCAGAGATACATTTGATTTTATATATTCAAATATACTATATAATGTATTTAATATTATATATTTGGACCACAGTTTGCATTTAATGCAATGGCATGTTATGGGTAAAATGCAATCAATGATGAAAAGTTATGAATTTTCGAGTTCATTATCTTTAAAATGTTTCGTATTTGATTTTTTTTATGTAAATAAACGTGCCGCCCCTCTAATTTAAATATGTTATTTAATCTATATCTAAAGACGTAGCTATAAAATATATATCTCCTGTATCAGCTATATCTCCACATACAAAATTTAATTTGTGCTAAAAAAATTATTTTGAGCAATCCATCGCGAAAAGTCGTACTTGTCCCATTTAAATTAGATGGATCCTAGTCTTAGTGAGCATCGTAGTACTGATAAAATTGTCAATGAAGCAAGCTGGAAATATTATTATATATATATCGTGGGTGCTTCAACCCCCATTTAACTCGCGTATGATCAGTATAAAATCATAGACTATAGAGACTGAGCTAATGATGTGAACACTAGTCTTAATTAGAGATGTGCTGGGCAAGTAAATTCCAGAATAATTCGAATTTCCCAAATATGAACTTATCTATATGTAGTCTCCTATTCTCTAAAACTTTATTTTTTACAGAAAACGTAAGATGCATTAAGGGAGACTTAGCTATAATACATTT